CTTGGTACCACAGAGTTCAGCATCAAGACCATAATGAATTTAAGCAGGAAGGCGATTTCACCTCAAATGAGGTTATATCTGAGATAGAGTTTTGTACCTGGCTCCGTTCTGACATTTAGTTTGGTGAGCTGATCGTCCTGAGGACAAATCTGCTAAAACTTAACAAGGGGTTCCTGTCTTGGGCTCGAGTCCTGTGTTTGCTTGGCCCTGATCTCACGACACAGGTGCAGGCGTCGGGGCCACACTGGGCGTTCAAGCCGATGCAGGCGTTTTCTACAGTAGTGAATGTTTTCTTGACGTGCTGAAAAATGCAGCCTGTCATTTCAGCAGCCGTCTTCCTCAAGGGTTTGGCAGGACTCACAAGGTGCTTGAGCAAGTCGGTTAGCTGAGGGCAGAGTGTTTTACTAGCCTTAGTAGTGATCCCCTAACCGAGTAAGGCTTGTTTGAGAGACTACGGGGTCTCCTGAAAAGTTATCCTTAATTTCAGTGAGCTTCAGAGCAGCCTAACCTCTTTGCCGTTGTCTCAAGGTGTTGCACAGCACCTTTGAGCCAGCTGGCATCGTCTACCTTTCCATCAAGTCTTGCAGTGAATTGCTGCTGCCTGCTACATCTCATCAGACTTCAGTTCAGGTTTGCTGTTCAGCAGCAAGGACCATACCTGTCACTTCTCCCAGTTTCTTTCCCTTGATGCTGCAGCAGAGGTTGCCGACTGTCAGAGATCAAGTGTAGGTCTCTTCTTTTTTCCTGTATGGGAGTGATTGTAATTTGAAAGAGATGATCCTATTCACTTGCTTTAAGAAGGCAAGGAAGAGTCTTGAAGAAGAAATAAAAAGGCACATTTTACACAACAAAAAGTCAGCATAAATTGACATATTTTCCAGAAAATCTCACAGTGCTAAAATTGATGAGTTTGTAGCATTTCAGGCAGTTGTATCTCCCATTTTGTTTTGAGGAGACCCTGTTAGCTATGCAGGAGACAGGAGAGCATCCGAAGGAAGCTTACAGTAGTAGGCAGCGGAGAATTCAGAAGGCAACAGCTACCAAATTCAGCAATGCGTGAGGAATGTGTTTAAGTGTATTTCCAGTGCCTTGGCGTGTCCTTACAAGTTCTTGAAAACAGTGAAATTTAAGCACAGAATCAGATACTTATGCTAAATTGGAGCTGAGGGCTCCAAATACACAGGCAGCATCTGTCTGTCTCGACTCCTGTACTATACACTTACATCAGGGAGTCTCTGTGAGGATGTAATTGAAGGATTGGTCCAGGAATTCACGGTTGCCTTTGGATGTAAGAAAACTGTCTGGCATACACTGTGGTAGTTTGCATCTCAGCCAGAATTTTTAAGAAGTTGCAAATGGTGGTAAATAATTTCCTAAAGAATAGGAAGTTAGATTTTGTCAATTCATTTTGGTGAGAAGAGTTCCTCTTTGCTAAGGGTAAGAGTTTTGTTCCTCACACTTCAAATAAGAAATGTGAAAATGTTGGTGTAGTCAGAGGAGATATCCTGGCTTTTACACTAAGTTGCCCCCTAGTTTTCTAGATAGGTAGAGCATCTCTCACAAACAGCCAGGAGTTAGGTAGGCCCGGATTCAATTCTCGCCTGTGAGTAGTCTCACTCGTTCTTTAGTCAGCTACATACAGCATAAATAATGGTGGCAGAATGTGCCTGTAATATTCTGATGGTGCCTTTAATGAAACAGTTACTGGGTGGGATATGAAAAAGCAATGTGAAACTGGCTACAGCCCAAGTTGCTGCTTTGCAAACTTCTTACTATGTACTTCCATATAAATACATGTCAACCAATTACATTTTTATGGCGTTTCAAGTGAATTCCAAGTGAAGCCCTGGACAATGGGTGCTTCGGCAGGTCTCTGTTTGATCTAAGAGACTTTCCATATAAATATTCAATGTTCTTCAGAGTGGAGCGGTTTTGGACCCCCAAGCATGTAGAATTTACTGCCTACCTCTGTGCTGAGGGCTGACCCAAACACGGCAGGATTTGAATTCCCTCCGTAAAATTGACTCCACTAGTTCTGCATGTTATTCTCCCTGTCCATTTAGCATGTTACTCTGCTGACAGTAGAGTACACAGCACTTAGCAGCTGGTTTGTGGAACCATCAGTCAGGAAATTATATGATAAATAGGAGGTAGCCAGGTTTAGTGGCACTTTATTCTGCTTCAGCAGTTTTAGCCTGACTTTGGAAAACTCGTCATGTGGTTTTTCTTAAGGGTTGCAACAGGAGATGGCTACAGTGTAGTAACTTATTGCACATACACTTGAGTTATGATGTTCACCAGCTGTATTGCTCATGTGTAAATAATAAACTGTGAGATGGATAATTATGCTGCATTTTGATATGCAGCTCTGCTCCAATCGGCGCAGGGCTGACAGAGACAGCTCCCTGCCCCATGGTGGAGTACGGCTGTTTCCCAGATGGAAACTGCAAACAAGATGCAACCAAGATATACAAAGCAGCTTAATGTGAGAGGACTCAAAAAGGTGTTCTTGAAGATTTGTATCTCATGTGTTAAATATGACTTGTTGGTGCTCTGCGCTGCATAGGCCCCACAAAGGGGAACACCCTTTTATGGGTCATTTAATACTCACGTTCCATTTCCCAGGGGAAGATAGATGTTCGCATTCAGGAGGGTTAAATGGTGTTTCGCTGCATAAATATTGGGACTGCTTTTAACAGGTAGATGCTCAGGCTGGGTGAGGGTGGGACAGTAAGGCGGCTTGGCATCCTGAGCAGGATTGCTTGCCTTGGCCAGGTGGAGCCTGTCCTGTCTGACATGAGTAAGAGTGACAAAATCTCTGTGGACTCACCTGTGCTCCCCAGACTCACTCTTCGGAGACACGTAGGGCAGACAAGGACTTGCCTGTGCATCTGTGAGGGCATGAGTGACCTTCTTCACGCGAAAAATAGTGGCAGAGTTTTTATGGTAAAATGCCAGACATCTGCTTTAAAACCTCCTCCCTTTGTCTTATGCTGCTGTAGCCAAATACCAGTGAAGGAGGGAACAGGGCAGGCAGGGAGGTGCGCTAAAACACACTTCTCATGCCCCTTTTCCCCTTCTCCACCTTGGCAGCTGGTGAGGAATGTGTTTCATGAGGTGGCAGCAAGCATCCTCCACTCGGATGATGTGCTCACAGGGGTACCTGGTCATCTGTGACCCACCTTTACTCCTGCTTAGTGCTCGGCTTGGAGAGTGAAGCTTGTAACAGATTGCATGCCAAGGTCCAGTTGGTGTAGCAGAATGGGAATTAAAGCTACTGCCAGTTTGAGCTCCCAGCTCCCAGTAGTAAACCATAATTATTTTTCATTTACGGTGCCTAAGCCCTGAGTCAGTAAAAGGCAGAAATGTGCTGTGGCTGATCACATGCTGGTGATGTTTCACAAAATCAAGTCATGAAAATGGATAGGCCGTGTCAGATGTTTCCAGATTTTCCTGAAATACTGGGAATATTTCCTCAGAATTTACATGATTTCCCCTTCATTCCCTCCATTTACTCCCTCAGGGCCTTGAGGTTTGTTCCTCTAGTTCTTTCTCCTGCTTCAAAACATAATAATAAACGAACCCAACTTTTGACAAAAACCAAGGGGAAAAACCCATTTTCTTTTAACCCTTTCTAGTTGGCATGAGGGAACTGCTTTCACAGATAACATAATCTAAGAGGAGGATTACATTTTGATGAATAGGAAAGGCAGGAAATACAAAGAGAAGATACCTTCAGGAGTCAGCAGGCAAAACCGAAATAGACTCAGTTTTACTGCCAGTGCATAGTTAAAGTTTTCTTTCTTTCAAGAAGCATTTTAGTAAATCCATGACATGACCTAATGTCTGTACTTCTCAGCTTTTGGTGTCCGATAAACACATGACTTCACCCGAAGTGGCAATCGGGTAATTACTGGGCGGGACCAGTTTGTTTCGCGCCGCTGGAGACGCTCGGCATCTCGTTTGAATTTTGAGCGTTTGGGAGGCAGCGGTGAGCAGCCCGGTTGGCAATAACCTCCTTTAGGCACACGAATCGCACCGGTGTGCTGGTGCAGCGAGCTGTGGTCCGTGTGCGTTGTGTCCTCCAAAGCTGGGAGGCGATCCTGCTGCAGGCGCAGTGGGGAGCTGCGGGGAGGGCTCGTGCTTGGCCCCTCAGGGCAGAGCCCGTGGGGGCGGCGGGGGCGCATTCCCCCTTTTGTCAGCCTCGTCGCTGAGGCTCTCCGGAAACAGCGGGGAACAGGAGCCCTGGCAGCTGCAGAACCCCCAGGCCTGCGAAAGCTGTGGAGGAGATGGGGCAGGGGAGCTTATTGCAGCCATGGGTCCCCAGGTCTCCAGCCATGGGGACAAAGAAAGCACGCTTCCTTTTTAAGAACGGTGTATGAAATGAGTCCTCGTGTCCTCAGGCACATTCCTCTGGATGCGGCCATCGGTGTGACGCACTTTAGCATCTCCAATACAGCCCTTCCCAGTTGCATTTGCCTTTTAACTCTGTTGTCTGATTTACTCCACATAGTCATTTTTCAGCATGCCACTTCAGTTTTGCTTTCTGTTGTAGGATTGTGTGTACATCTCTGACGATATACTTTTTTTTATTGTATTGCGTTCTCTGCTTAGGCTTTTTGTCCTGGGATATTTTTTTTTTCCTTGTTTTAGTAAAAAATAAATAAATCAGGAATGCTTATAAAAGGCTTGATGGTCCTTTTGATCTGACACTTCATGTATGGGCACATAATTATTTATTAAAGACTTCTTTATGTCCCTTTCCATTTAAGCTATAAAAAGAGAATATTAAAATTAGTAAATACATATTCATGCAAACACTGTGGGCCAAACTCTACTCTCAGACAGACCTGACTGACTGCAGCAGGGAAGGAGAATGCAACCCCTAAGTCGTAGTGCTGTTGACACATGCTTTTCAATATCTGTTCTGTCTTTATGAATGTTGTTTTTAAAGAGTCGTTGGAGATACTCAGATCCATGAACCTCGCTTGTTTTTTCAGATCCGCCTCACCTCTTTCCAGCATTCCATCCTCCTGTACCAATTGATGCGAGACATCATGAGGGACGCTACCATTACGAACCATCTCCCATTCCTCCTCTGCATGTGTGAGTATTCAGTATTTCCCCTCGCTTCAGCTGCCTGGAAGAACGGGCAAGTATACAAACCTTTAAAGCCATGCACCTGGAGCGCTTTGCCAGTCTTGCCGGAGAGTGAGACTTACTTTTGGAAAGCATTGAGGTTATCTGTTAGTGAAGCAAAGCCCAGGCTGGTGCCTGAGGAATTCCTGTTATAATAGGTGGCTGGCAAGTGTAACCTATATGTTTTGCTGATATTTATTCTGTGTGCTGTTGTTCTGTAAATACTAAATCAAAAAGTGCTGAACCCTGTGAAATACAGCCAGACAAAACATGTATTTTGTCTGTATTAGGCTTGGGATTCTTCATAGCTAAAATTTCCTCTCATGCCAAAGGTTTTTTTTTCCCTTCTGACTGCTATGAAGCATAATGAAATTTTTGGTAAATTTTCATAGTCCCTGTTGTGTGCACACACAGGCAATCGGTTGATTGATGGGAATGTCACCCAAACAAAATGGCAAATGTGATAGAGCACATGGTTTACACAAAGATAAAAGAAATGAATACCCGTGATAACATGCATTAGAAAAGGGTGGCAGTGGTGAAATCCTGTAGAAATAAATATTGTCTTATTCTATATGGGGAGACAGATTCAGCATTGCCAAATAAAACAGTAGTTGTGTTCAGAAAACTGCTATATACCATTAAAAATGGAGCCAAAAAGCAGGCCTTGGTACTTTGCTAAAAGGCTTGATATATACATTTAATCATATCTACTAATCACCTCTCATACTGAGAAAATACAAGAAGAAAAGCGCAAGCAATACTTTGAAGAATAATGCTAGTTGTTTAGATGGCAGATTGCTTTGCTATGGCTATTAGTTACAGCTGTGTAATTACATATATGCAGAAGAAAAATGAAGTTGTTTTAAAACAAGTCCTCCTCTGTGAGCAGAATTAATTGATATTAACAATCCTAACTACATGCCCAAGTACACACACAATATTTTACTAACAGTTTTTTTGGGTCAGTCTTCTATTACTGAATTGTAATTTCAGAGCAAATTTGCCTGGAGGTAAGTAATAAATCTGTGTTGTAGTCTTCTTGGGCATTAGAGGAAAAGTGGGTATTTATAGAAAGAGAGAGTACAGAAACTTGTGATTTATTTCTCAGAGTTCCTGTGACACATCCTTATTTACACCACAGTCAACCACATCATAAAATACATTCAAATACATGCTTAAATTTGCTGCTAAAAACCATTGTAAGCTGCAGGTGGCAGGCTCAGACAGAGTCATTACATGGTCATCCTGGATTTTGCAGCACAGTGAATATTCTGTCTGGGTGTTTTTGGGAGGTGGGGGGGACAATGCTGCTCCTTCTGAAGCTAGTGGGGAATTTGCCTTTGTCTTTGGTGTGAGGCAGACAGAGTAGGGAGCCCCAGAAAGTGTTTTAACCTGCATCAGCAGAGGACCGTAATCCAAAACCTGGGTACCGCCTGTGAGCCTTCACGGAGGCTTCTGGATCCTGTGCCATGTGGGACCCTGCCTGGCTGCGCTTGCTGTGCTGAGCCCTCTCCAGAGGCTGAGCCCCACAAACCCAGCCCCTACGGTGACACCCTGTGCCCACAGACAGGGCTTTTGGGTGGGTAGACCACCGTTCCTCGCTTCGGGTGACAGTGGGAAATAGTTCCCTGTGGTGCAGCGGTGATTCAGCTGGGCCCTACAGAGGCTTATTAGAGATGAGGAGATCTTAGCATGATCTGACCTGAAAGGAGGTTGTAGTGAGGTGGGTGTTGGTCTCTTCTCCCACGTAGTTAGCGATAGGATGAGAGGAAATGGGCTCAAGCTGCGCCAGGGGAGGTTTAGGTTGGATATTAGGAAAAATTTCTTCATGGAAAGGGTAGTGAAGCATTGGAACAGGCTGCCCAGAGAGGTGGTGGAGTCACCATCCCTAGAAGTGTTCAAAAAACGGGTAGACGTGGCACTTCGGGACATGGTTTAGTCTAGTCTACCCTTGATTGGTTTAGTGTGGACTTGGTAGTGTAGGTTAATGGTTGGACTGGATGATCTTAAAGGTCTTTTCCAGCCTTAACGATTCTGTGATTCTATGATATGACTGTAGGCTTTAGAAACACACTCTGGTATCAGCCCAAGCTTTAAACTAAGCATTTCCTTGATAACAGCCATTTATTTTTCCATTACTTTCTCTTTGATTCTTCCACTCATTTGGTTTGTGTCACCATTGGAATGATGAGCCGTAGTGGTCCCTTGGAGCTGTTGTGGTCGGTGTAACTAAATGTGAATACGCAATTAAGCAACTTAAAACCAAAATCTGTCAGACTCCAACAGCTTCTTTGTAGATGTTAAGGTTTGTCATGCTTTTGCAGTTTTCAGGAATATGTTTTAATGTATGTATGAGGTAGACACCCAGCAGTGTTCTTGCAAGTTTTGCAGAGCCTAGTGTGAGTATCACTTAGGAGTGTTAGATTTGGGATCGTTTGGAGCCATTACTTGAACTGGTGTCCTAACACCCATTTAAAAAAAAAAAAAAAAAGCATAGCGAACTGGGTCTGAGAAGTTATTTGAGAATTCTGAGAGAAAACGGCAAGAACACCAGTGAGGACACAAATGTTTACCCACAGCTTCATCAATGACTTCATTGTATGAGTGGTTTTCACCTCAGCTTCATAATATTCTCAAATGTGTGTGTGTGTGAAATATAAATAGAAAAATGGCAAAAAATTGGCATCATTCCAGTTATCCAAGCTCCTAGCAATGTGTTCCAGAACCTGTCAAGCAGTAGTGGAATTAGTTTAGGTATAATACAAGTGCAGAAAAAATGTGGAGAGGGCCTTGTCTGCATGATAGCTACAACGTGTGCACGTAATTTTGAACAATGGCCAAGTGAAAAAAAAAAAGAAAGGAGGGATTTTTAAGGTGTTACGGGGCTCTTACATACTTTCAGCTCTAAAGATGTATATGTATTTATATGTATAATTCTTGTAGTTTAATTGCTGATGGGCAGAACTGTTGTATCCCAAATTTCAGCCTGGAGCCAAATTTTATGACTGAGTTATAAACCCCTAAAATAAGGGTTTATGTTTATGATGGAATTGCTGACAGATGCTTATGTATAGTAGGACTAGCAGGCATTGCTGTAATTATGCTATCGTATCCTATCATTAAAGATTTCAATTGAAAGAGGTTTATAAATTGCTCCTCTTCTTAGATAAACCACCCTACATTAAGGCATCAACGATATGGTGCAGAATTAAATTAAAATCTCATAAAATGAAATATGTTCTGTATTAGCTGTTTGACACTTAATTTGCCTCTGAATGAGTAGAGGAAATCACAAATTAACCTGCCTTTGTTTTTCCAGCCATGGCTTATTAGGTGTTAGAACAACTGCAATTACAGCCCAATAATAACCCCCAACCCTTATGAATATGTACTGAAATGTGTCACTTTGTATTACCAAAACCTGTTTGTTAGGACTGTGTGGTTATCCTGGAATTTCTGCAGTACATCTTTGGTTTATACTTCAGGGAAGATGTATGAAACTTAAGTTGTTCTTTAGTGGCAACATATGAACAGTGTAATTGGAGCTGGAGCTTGTGTTTTCCTTTTTTTTTCAAATTCAGTGTGTGAATCTTAGTTTTTAAAAGTATTCCAGTAAACTAATTCAGTTTTGCTACTTTTCATTGAACTAGCAAGTTAAATTACTTGTTAAACATTGTATGATTAAAACATACGAAAAGAAGCATGGCTTTAGTAAAACCACTTCTTGCTTTGTTTTTCTTTGTTGTTTTTGTCTAGCTGTTTCTTAATTTTCAAAATTGATTTTTGTTGGAATGAGAATTGTTAGCAGTGAGCAGAGGAAGAATAAGGGTGTCTTGACTTTTTATGACAGTGCGAGTGCAAATAACTTTATAGTCCCACAACTTTTAAAATCCAGGTTAGCCAGAATGAGAGTTTTTATTTATCAATTAAAAAAAAAAGCTCCCAAGGCAGAGGCAAACTTCTACTGGCGGATTTAACCACAGTGGTTTAGGAAGTTACCATTCTTGGTCATTCATTTGTTCCCACACCTTTACCGAGTTGTGTTAATAGGTTGCTCCCAGCCTGCTTCATTACAAAGCTGGGTTGGACAGCCTTTGAAGGTGACCTCACCTGGTATTCCCAGGCGCTGTTAATGCAGCTGTGAAGGAAGCACGCTCCTGCAGAGGTGGGGCAGGGGACAACTGCTGGGTGCCAGCATCAGGAACAGCTCCAGGGTGATGGCCTGTGTACATCTCAGAGCAGTTAATGGACGTGTCATAGGAGGCTAGTAGAAGCATCCTACAAGATACGCCGTGCACACTCCCAAAACATTCATCTGTTTAGTCGCCACCTCCGTTTCTCTTGCCATCTCATTTTACATTAGCCCTGGACTAATGTAAGGGAGCGTGAGCAGGTAAATCGAAGGGAAGGTGCACTGATGTTACCCATATGCTTACAGCCAGGGGAGGCTGCCCTTGCAAGGAGGAAGCTGCAAGGTAAAGCTGCTGTCTTATAGCTTCCTAGGATCAATGATGCTCCAAGCTCCTTTTTTTCTAACTGCTGGTCGAGGCTGGCAGCATCCGAGTTTGGCAGTCTTACGCCCTGAAATGATGCATGTGCAGAGAAGTGCGCACATGCCTAACACGAATGCCTTGAACAGATATTTTGAACTGTTTGAATGCACCGGTACTAAAGCAAAGCATGTGTTTTGCTTGCAGTCAGCTTCAAGTTGATAAAAAGAGAGTCCGATTCTTGGATATGTTATTTCATATCTAATTTACGCAGACATCAGTTACACAGGGGTGAAAAGGAAAGGAAAGTCAGGCCCAGACACTCAGCTTTCATCAGCCTCTGATTTTGGACTGTGCAGTACAATGGGGGATGTCCAAATGTGAGAAGATTAAAGTGTTGGCTCTGCAAAATATCCTTGATTATATGAGAGAAACTGCTTGCCATATGTTTGATAGGATGTTTAGGTTTTCCCA